ATAGTGCTTTGTGAACACAAATTAGTTAGCATAAATACAGTTAAATAGGCGAAATATTAGGTGTCTATTTACTTGTGACCACTCAGTGTGTATATATATATAGAGAGAGAGCCTGACTGAAGCCTAGAACTTTCTGCAAAGTACGAGACATTATGATGTAACAATAATCAAAGAAATAACTAGAAACCTTAGAAGGTTCTACTAATATAACGCAACAATCTAACAATCACCGACTAGTGAACTACACAACATATGACTTGTACACAGATACTTAAACCAACTGGCGATAAATTGTTGCTTTTTAAAATACTAAATGTAATGCTCTCGATTTGTAACTATTTAAATCATAACTCTCATAATAAATTTAAATGAAACAGTTGTGTACATCTAACAGTGTTGGTTTCTTCTATTGGCGTGATCATAAGACTGTAAAACAATTACCTGGAACTCGATGGTCTGCACGTGCACTCTTCTATTGGGCGTGATCATAAGACTAAAACAATTACCTGGAACTCGATGGTCTGCACGTGCCGATGCAATCACGGCTTTAATTGATGGTATTCAAATATTTCTAGGTTCTTTGAGCAATGATACTAGTCAAACAAGAGAAACAATATATGATACTTAAAATCTATGTAAGAAGATGAACAAGTTTAAGGTAGTTTTCTTGAAAATACTATGGAAAGATATTCTTACCCGTCTTAATTGAACAAGTAAAATTCTGTTAAAAAAGAAGAGGATTTTAAACTTATGTTAATGTCTGCATTCTTCAGTAAGTATTGTCATATATTTAGAAGTTAAGTTAATATGAGTGCAAAGCAAGAACAAAATGTGTCAATAGTAATTACAGTGGGATTAGTGAACGTACAAAAAAAAGTTGCCCCATCACTTCTTTTGACAGAACTGCTAGTGGTACCGTTCTTCAAGGTTGAAATGTACTTGCCAGTCATTGACTCACTGATTTGTAATTTAGAAAAAACAACTGAAGCATCATAAAAAGAAATCAATAATTATTTTGGATTTTTCCAGAAACTTAGTGGTATGAACTCTGCTGAAACTACTGAGAATTATGAAAGGCTTGTCTTAATTTATAACAAAGATTTGGAGAAAGGAGAAATCATCCGAGTGTCAGCAAATCAAGCATTACATGTCAAAAAAAAAAAGACAAATTATTTTCAAGTATTTATGAACCATTAAAACATGACAAACTGGAAGCAACATTTCCTTATATTGAAATATTTTTACGGATATTCTTATCAATGATGGTCACAAACTGCAGAGGCGAAAGATCTTTGTCATAGATAAAATTTAATATTAAGAATGAGCTCCACAGTTGCATGCTTCAACCAAGATTGAACACACTATCCTGATATCAATCAGATATCAGGATATCAATCGGATATGCTTCGCGAACTCGATTTTGATTATATTATTTGTGACTTTGCAAATAAAAACAAGAAAACACATCTATAGAACTGTATATAAATAAAATTTTTGTTTTTGTACTTTATTATGGCTAATATATGCAGAAATTAAATAAAAACTGTTGAATATTAAAAAGCTGTATTTGTATTTTTAAGTGTGAATTTTGTAGATGGGCCCCCAATTCACTCTTAGACCCCCACCCCCACCCTAGCCTTAAGATGGTGATGAATTAAATGCATTCTCTATGGACTATCCTTGAATGCATTCATTTATTTGAATCACAGATAGGAAAATGTTTTTATGATGCTTGAGATGGGCTAAGGAAAGTACTGGATCGGTTGATGAAAGATAAACTTATGATGAATCATAAGAAGTGTGTATTGTTCTGTCAACAGATGTGTTTCCCGAACACAAAGTCAGTGGAAAGGGAGTGTATACAAATTAAATAAATATTAAATTTCTTCAGAAATGGTCAACACCACGAAACTTGTGTGAGGTAAAAAACTTTCTTAGGCTAGCCTTATTACCGTGATCTTAAGAATTGAATACATTCCCAATTATAATATGCACTCTAATCCTCACGGAAAAAAGCCAAATTTGTCTTATCATCATAAATAATATGCACCTATTGTAACCCTTCAACGATTTTGTCTAAGCTTTTTTTTTTGTATGTCTCATGGAATAAACTGCCTGACGAAGGGCTTCCACCCGAAACGTTGCAAATAATAATATAGTTTTTGTTATAGATGTGTGTTTTACCAATTTTCATTATTTTTTCACGTCTTGCGGACTTTTCTACTGTTTGTGAAGAGTGTATGTGGCTGACCCCTGACTACTGGTCTAATGCTCAAAATAGTGGAGCCCATTGATGTAGATGCATTTTTGTAGAAGACTGACGTTTCTGACCTCACTGTGTTAACCACAGAATAGTCAGTAGAAACAAAGCTCACCATGAATGTACTGGAATCAGTTGTGGAAAAGCCTATGAGCCTAATACAATTGGCAGAATTACGTCTGCATGAGGCCCCAAAACAGAAGACATTTCCGACACTTCCCCAGCTCCTGTGTAAAATGATTCCTTGTGGATAGTCAAACATTGGTAACCACCCATCGAGTGATCCATCAGCAGGTGCTTGACAATCTCATAGTAGTACCACCAGAAGTGCTCACACCTTATTGTGATAGAGTATGAAAGTAAACGTGGTTTGAATAAGAAGTACAGATAAAGTAAAATATTTTGGATACTATATAACTAGTGACTAAACCGAAGAAAGACCAGTGAGAACATTAGAAGAATACACATAGAAGGCGATTCTAATGTCTGAGCAAGCAAACTGAAACATAAGATAGTGTTAACAAGCACTACGCCTATAGGACAGAGGTTTTATAGATTGGGAGTGAGG